TCGTGGTTTTTATTTTAAAATAATTTGAAAATATAATTTGGACATGATTATTATTTTAATCCCCAAAAATACAGCTTTTCGTTGACCCCAACTCTCTGGCAATATTTTCCCGCCGTGCATGTGGGCCGCCCAGGTTTATTTGCATTTTAATATGGCTCGTATTTTATGGGGCTTTCATATTGTTGTAGGTATTTACAATATATATGTATATATTTTCCTTTTAAGCCGCATTTGTGTAATGAAACGGAAGGGATTACCGCTGGCCACCCCATCCAGAACTCAGATCCCAGAGCCCGGAGCCCAGTACATGGCAACCCTTAACCCTCTCCCTTCGACCGGTCTTAGCCCCCACGAAATGTTTAACGAAATTGAAACACATTTGCCTGACAGTTGCCATCAGCTTGGCTTCAATTTGATGTCAGCATTATTGACTGATCCTTCGGGGGCCCGCCCAAGGATCTCGCATATACATATGTTTACCCGAGGCCGAAACACTTCAAGTTGCCTAGTTAAAGTTAAGTGTTCGTGGGCGGGGAAAGGGGAAAGGGGGCGTGGTCCCCTGCTCAATCATATTTCACATTCGCCACTTGTCAGCTTTTATCTCGTTTTCGTCATCCCAAGAAGTGCCCATCTTATTCCCGAGCTTCTCTGTCTCTGTCTCCCTCTGGTTGTCATAATTTCATTATTTGCTGCGCTCAGGCATAAAAAAAGGGATATTGTCTGGCTGCCAGGATAACTCTGTATGTATGTGTGTGTGTGTGTGTGTGTATAGGATGGGTTGTCATGAGCACGATGTTCGCATGTCCTTTCCATCGACGTCTGCACACGCATTTATTTCTCAGCTTCTGTGGCAGTCGGCGGCCATCGCAGGATGACAGAAAGTGTCTATACAAACAGCAGACAGGCAGACAGGACACAAATACAGATGAACGACCAAGTTACGCACAAGGACAGGCAGAGAAAATATAAAAGGACGAAGGTCTTGCCAAGATAATATTTAATTTATGAGAGTTTACCCGCTTGAAAGTTGAATTTTAATCATGTTTTTAAGTTTAGAAAGGAATTTGTTCAAGATATTTATCAAGAGGATAACTTAAAGTTTAAGTTAAGTCAGGATATAAGTTAGTTTAATATTGAATTAAGAAATAAATAATTTAAGTATTCTTTATCCAAAATAATTAAAAATAATCCCAAGCTCTGCCTAAATCCCCTTGTTTGATAGACGATTACTACGTTTGATGTGCTCAATTGTGCAAGACTATTTTGGGTTTACTTTTTTTTCGAGTGCACACATGCGTGGCACATCCTTTTTCAGGCAGCCGAGTTGACTGACTGACGCGCTGGCCACGTGCCTCAAGTTATGAGAGCCACCGGCTGCGTGTCTGGGCCGTCCTGGGTGTCCACCGACCGAAACTTCAATTTTAATTGGATAATTACTCATCCAATCCCAGGATTTAATCCCGCCTGAAATTGATGCACCGCACCAGCAGGGGTTGCTGAGCGGTTAATAGGGTTGAGTCCTGTGAGGTGAATCCTTACCCAATGCTCTCTTTGAACCTGTGACTGCGGCTCAAGTGGCTGTCTGCCCGTGTGTGTGCTCCCCCCCTCGTTTTCTCGTTCTCGGAAAATTGCATTGCAATGGCTTCCAAATAGATGCACTCCTAAAGGGGCTGGGGCAGCAACTTGTTGTCCATTCAAAATGCATCTGAATGGGGACCGGATACGGATGACACCCGGAATGTGCAGAAATTGAATGCCAAAAGGGGGGTAAAGCTGCCAAATGGCCAAATGGTATTTCCATTCACAACTCGCCGGCATTAAATGTTCTCCGATTTGCAGCTGCATGCAAATGATCTCCCCAAACAGTTGCCATGCAGACAAATAATATAAGGGCGCTACTATAGCCAGTCTTTATCTATTATCTGGCTCGACTTTGGACAGGGCTGTGTGTGTGTTCTACAACCTCAAGCTCTAGCTCAAGTTATCCTTTTTTTTCTTCTACAGACAATTGACATGGCAACGGGTCAGAGGAGCTCACGAGTTGCCAGAACAAACAATCAGACAGAGTTAAGTGCTGTAATATTTGTAGTGCTTAGGAGATGCACTGAGAGAAAGATTTATGATGTTTTGGAAATAAAAAAAAAAATTTTTTTAATATTTCTAATTGAAATTGAGAATTTTAGAAGGATTAATGTGCTTTGAAATGCCTTAATTACATTTTAAGGATAATATTTGAACAGTCAATAAATTCCAGAATATTTTCCTATTTAATTAAACCTTAAGAATTAAAATTAACTTTTTTTTAAGCTTTTAAAATATGTAATACATTTACTAAAAAAAAGGCAGGACATTATCCTAATTATTTCATGATTTTCACAATATTTTCTACCTTAAAGGAACTTTTAAAATCACAAGAAACTTTCCTTAAACCTTTACTATATTTATTATTTCTTTAACATACTTTTCCACAGATTTCCTATTATTTCCCAGTGCACTTTTCCCCACTGAACAAGGGGTGCAAAATGTTTCCATTGAAGCCGCCGCCAAGCACTGAGGCATAAACTCAATATTCTCATCTTTTATTCGCTCTGTCGGGTTTTACGCTAGGATTTCAAAGGCACAGAGATACATATCCTGCGAATCCGTACCCAAATCCAAAATGCTGTCTGCCCTTCGTTGATTAGAATCAACATAAATAAAATTAATTGTTGCCGGTTGAGTCGTCAGTCGGTCGGTTGGGGGTTGCATTCAATTTGATTATTAGCTCAATCCAGTCAGGCTCGAAACGGAAGGACCACACCCCTGGTCCTCGACTACTTATTTCGATTTTGTCGTTGGGCTAATTTTCCTGTGGTCCGAAGCCCTGGAGACCTCGCTTGAATGCCACAAAATAATTATAATTTATTTACAGCGCCCGTCTGTCTGTCTGCCTGTCTCTCTGTCTGTTTGTTGGACTGAGAGTTCCAGTGTTTGCTGCTTAATTGCCAACTTCTACTTCAAAAAGGACCTCCACCCTCTATAAATTGTGTGCAATTGTTTCCTGAACTCGGGGCCATTGCATCAGGAAATTAAACTGCGATTCGGCCCTCTGTTTCTGGCTGCCTTCAGTCTCATCTGTATGCAGCAGGCAAAATATGCAAAAATGACAAGCCTCCCACGACAAACACTGACAAAAACTATACGGAAACCAAATGAACATAGAAAATTGGATTTTATAATAAATTTTTAAATTTAAGAGTTTAGATAGCAATTTATAAGAGAGGTAATAGTTTATACAGATCACTTTGTAATCTGTTCCAGTAAAAATTTCTGTGAATTTGTTTTCCCTCAGTGCATTCGTACTCCTGTTCCTAAGCCCAAAATCATAAATTACACCAAAAAACTGACCCCGAGCAGCGAGAATGCCGAATGTATTATGCAAAATGCTGGCCAACGAGCTCTTGGCTAAACCGAAATTAAATTTCCAAAGGCAGACACAGAACATACAAGACAATGAATCGATAATTTATAAATACTCTGCGCTGATGGTTTTGCAAAAGCCGTGGCTAGCCGTGGCTTTAGGTGGACAAAAGCTGCATTCATTTTGAAATAATCAACGAAAATGCTGCAAAATCCAGAACCGAAAACCGAAAACTGAAAACCAGAAAACCATTCGTAGGGATGCACTGGGTGGCGGGCACTTGAAATGCAGTCAGTCGTTGTGGCAACCAGTTGAGCTGCTAGCTCCAACTAGCTAATGGCTGGGTTTTTGGCATTGAATCGGTCTGGTTTTCGGCATGATTTCTCAATTGATTGCAAGTGGCGGCTCTGGACTGCCATGCTCCACAGTTTCAGGATCGTAACCGAAGCTGGAAGAGAGTCCTGTCATGCCTAATGCTTATTACCAACACTTGGACGCTTGGCAATTTATGCAGAGCGATGCGATGCGATGCAGATGCAGCTGCCAAAGCTGCTTACGTTGAGTCCTTGGCCAACTGCCCACCGGGCAGTCGATTTATAATACCCTTGAAAGGAGTATCCTGGACGTGTAAACTCTATAATCTTGATCAGGCTTTGTCCGCGAATTTTCTTTGTTAGGTATATCAATTTTAAAGATTTCTAGATAAACGTATGCAAACTTCTTAAATTTCCAAGTTTTTAATAAAAATAAAATGGGAAAGTTCTCGTAAATGTATAGAAAAAATATAGCAGAAGTAATATAAATTATATTTTTCTGTTATATTAAATATTTTTTTAGAGTATTCCCACTTCTTGTAAACTCATCAGGACTCCTTTTCGTGTTGTTTCTATAATTTTAATTGGAGCTACGCACAAGAGAGAGTGAATGGTTGGGCTTCTCGAATTTGGAATGCATTTTTGGCAATTTCCAAAACAAATATTGCTTGAAAGGATCTGGGAGTAAGCTGCTCCTGCATGAAGCCACCTCCATTTTATGCTCAGGTGACCAGTTGGGCATCTAGCAAATAGTTTAGTGCATGAAATTGCTTTCCGCACACACACACATACACTCTGGATCTGCCGCTGACAGGGATGGGCACTTGCTCCGTAAACATGTTATGTAATTAAAATGCCTGGCAGATATTTTGGCCAAACATTTTGCGGCTGCTTTTCCGCTTTTGTGTGCCAAAAATATTCCTTACCAAATAACTTGGAGCTCCTCTTTTTATGAGGACGCCAACGCCAACAACGACGAGAGGTCTCCGACATGCTGCTCGTAGCCCCGAAACTTTCTCAATGGAATGCCCCAAATTCTGGCAAAGCTTTCACCACTTTCACGGCAGAGAGAAGCTCTCCCTTTTCAAGGCGTCTCCTTGCTGCTGCTGAATGCACTCTTATGGGTATAAAAATAACACAAGAGCTAAGAATACTCTGTGTTCTCTTTGATATTAAAATTTAAATTGAATTAAAATAGAATAAATATTAATATTCTTTAGTAATACATATTTTTGTTCAGTGCTTTCCTGCCATTAACCGTTTATTATTTTATTTATTCCTTGCAGACGTCACAAATCTGGACTACGTTAAGGTAAATGCCGAGGCGGGCAAAAACGTGACCATTCCGTGTCCTGGGGTCAACGAGCACTCGCTGGTGGACACGCTTGTGTGGAAAACGGCGTCCACGACCATTGCCCAGTTTGCCAATCGGATACCATTGCTGCACAGTCCAAGGGTGAGTAATATTATTATTTTAACGTTAATATTTAAAAAGAAAAGACGTTAAAAACAAAAAAGAACAAAAAACAAATAACTTAGTGGATTTTTTAAATATATTTTTAAGATTTTGAGGTAAAAATGGGTTATCTACACCTTCTTAAACAAAGATAATGTAAACCATTTTTAAAGATATCAAAAATAAGTATATAAAAGACTGAAAACCCCTTTTAAAGCTCGAAATAAAATCAAAAATTCAACGCTTTTCTCTCCTCTAAAACCCCCAGACATTTCCCAAGTGCAATTTTCACTCAAAAATGGCACTCCCGTGTCATATTAGAATTCATTTCGACACTTAGCGCCTTTTTCCACCACCACCCAGGACGAAGGTTGAGGAAGGACCCTCTAATATATATGGCCCTGCCTGGTGCTCAGTGCTCGGTGTTCAGGGCAAAAACGAAGCTGTTAAAATAATTGATAGCCGGTTGCCGGGCGGCTGTTTGAACTTTGCCCTTCGCCGCCAACGCCGTCGTCCTCGAACTGAAGGCGATGAGTGCAAGAAAGTGCAGCGAAAGTCCCGACAACTAAGTGGCCATCAATGGGGTGGAGCCAAAGGGTCGGGGGGCTCAGGACTCGAAAGTACAGAGCAAGCCGGCGCGCGGCTAATATATTTTAAATGTTTGATAGTTGCACTAAAACAGAAGCGACATGGCGCAAAAAAAAAATATAAGAAAATAAAACAAAAGAAGGGAAAGCGTTCAAGTGGCTGCCAGATGGCAAGGACTGGGAAACAAGGCTGGGAGCTGGGCCCAAAAGCGATTGCAGCGGCCTTAAACGCACTCGGGGGGCCATTGAGGCGGCGCAGGCAGAATGATGAAGTTGCCTCCATTCCTGGTAGCCAGATGATGAAGGATCTCGAGACGTTGGCACTGGGAGAAAAGGGATATCAAAGTGGGTGCTATATGGATCAAATATAAGGGAAGGTTATAAGGAAAACATCATTTAAATTAAAGAAAATTGCCAGAATATTTATTTTAAACTTTCTGTCTCCCATAACCCAAGCATCCTTTTTTCCGGCAGACTTTAGACTTCTGGACATATTTTTTCCCCAGTGTTACCAGCAGCTTCTTGCGGCTGAACTCCTAGAGCGGACTAGCGAGCCGAGCGAGAGTACCGGCTATGTGTTAAATGCCAGACTGGGACACTTGAGCTGCAGCCAAAGTTGGTCCCAATCCGGCTTCCTGCGCTCTCGACTCGCATTTCTTGGCCTCCGCCAAGCTGCAGGAGCGCAAGGCTGGCTGGCTGGCTGCCTTCTTGGCCCGGCTATTATGTGTATTAAAAGTTTTTCACCTTGGCACAGTGGCTGCTTCATTTTATTACAACTGACACATGACCCCCCGCACACACACACACACCCTGGACCCTGGACCCGGGCCCTGCTGAGCTATTAACTTTTGTTTTATGGCCAAGACTGGAAATGATTCATGTTTGCACAAGCCAAGCGGACTAAGGAGATCCTTACCAGGGATTTGCCGCTACAAGTTCTTTTCTAGCCTCAGTCTGTGTGTGTGTTTTTTTCCTCAAAGTAAACCAAAGAAGAAAGGAAAAAAATACTTTCCTCAAGTCACCACTCCTTCAGTTTTGGGGGCGGCGGTCAAAAGGGCGATGAATGTAATTAGAGTTTACTACAAAATCGTATTGGAAATTAAAAATTCCACATGGTAAATTTTCTGGCAAATATTTCCAGGACTAAGGACTCTGCCTGCCTTCCTGCCTGTGCAATCGAGCGGCAGAATTTTCCCCAAAATATATATAGAGAAAGAGAGAGAGAAAAAGGCAGCTCGAACTGAAACTGAGGCATTTTAAGTTGTAATTTGAGGGCATACAGTGGCAAGGATACAAAAGTAAATAACAGGGTCAGGCATGCGAAGATAAACCAGATACTTTGGCTGCAGCAGCTACCAGATGGAAAATAATTTAGTTTTCCACATTAGAAACAAATTCAAACGAAATGCATATCACAGTAATCTGTGATGAAAATCCTTATTAAATTTCGGCCCAAGCAGGTAAGGAAATTATTTGCAGGGGAAAACAAACAAATCCTGGATAAATTTACTGCCAATGCAACTGACTTTCGGCTCAACTCGACTAGGGGAGAGGATACATAGTTCAATTATGAGCCGGAGCCGGAGCCGAGGCCGGCTTTGTGGCCAAAACAAATTTGGCCTGAGACAGAATAAGTTTTAGGCCGGGTCGATGACATTCTATGCCTTTGTTTTCGCTTTATACTCTGGTTTGGGCCACATATATGTAAGTTTTCCTTACTATTAAAAACTTTTTCTGGCCTGTCCAAAGTGGAAACTCATGTCCTCGGCCGCCTTGTTATTTGTCAGGGGCCTCGCCTCCACTCTTGGTAGATTTTAATTTTCCAAATCGCATTTATATATAGAGGGAGGAGAGACAGAGAGTTATAATTAAGTTCCCCGAACTCGTTGCAGATACAACTTTTATCGGACAACTTTGGACTGCAGTTCACGCCCTCCTTGGCGAGTGATACATCGGAGTATATTTGTCTGGTAAACGATCGGCATATACCAGAGGCTATTGTCGATTTACTAGTGCAAGGTGAGTTGGTTTTTTAATAAAGAAATTAAATAATTATTCGAAATACACATTTATTTTTAAGAAAATTATCTGTAATTCCCTTCTTCTTATACATTTTCCTTTAAAACTCTTTGCCTTGTCCCTCGTTTTCTCGTTTGCCTTCTTAATGAAACGCTTAACTACTTTTAATGATTTTTCCGGTTTACTTGACCAACACATCCGCCTTGGTCTCCCCCTCCCCACCAAGGATTTCATTTTCCGATATGTCTTCCTTACACCGCCGCCGGACTTGCGTTCATTTTCCTTTTTCTGTATTATTTTTCCTTCGATTTCTCACTTGTGTTTTCATTGTCGTTGTCCCCCCACCACCCTGCCTTGACATGATTTCCATTTGCATTTCACTGATAGCTGGCAGTTTTCCCGATGCTCCACCGATTCTCCTTCTCGATTTCATTCTCCATTCTCAATTTTTCTCTTCCCTGCAGATGTGCCCGATCCGCCGGAGCGTCCATTGTTGATAAGTTTCACATCACGCTCGGTGAACTTATCCTGGGCGCACTCGCAGCATCCACGGAATGCGCCCGTCACGCATTTTATTATTGAAACGCGGTAAGTGTAGCCATCGAGATGAGGAGTTAGCCACACAATTAATAGTGGTGACAACTCTTACAAACAAAAAATATCTAACTTAAGCGATAAATTTTAAGAAGAAGCAGGGGGAAGCAATAATTTCGATTAATATTAAAAAAAAAAAACAATTTATATTAGTTTTAATAAGATTTGTATAAAAAAAACTGCTCTAGAGATGGGATATTCTCGAAAGATAATAATATTATTCATACATAATAATTTATAGCTAAAAAGAAATATTTCAAAAATAGCCAATTCAGCAACTTCTCCCCTCTAGTGGTTTGTTTTAAGCTGATGAAGTGCCCTTGGGATGCTTTGTACTTGGTGTGGGTGGTGGTTTGGGTGGCTGAAATTCTGAAATTCTAGGTGGTTCGTGTGGGCGTCCAAGGACACTGAATAGCTGTCCGTGGCGATGATGGACGCGCGGCCATGATTGACACATGCAAAGGCGCTTTTGCCAAAGGATGCACCAACTGCGGCTGACCCCAATGCGCTAATGAATTAGCGAGCGGAGCGGAAAGGAACCGAGTGCTGGATGCACACCATCGCCATTAAGCGCCCATCGTCATTATCATCATCATCCTCGCCAGGCGCTAAGCAGCTGGCCACACCCATTGCCGCCTTTGACTTGGACTCTAACGCCCATCTGATTTTCGCATTTATGAGAAGCCGAGAGCATTGATGGTCCTGGCTGGGCCCGGTGCATTCAATTAAATTCATGCGTTTATGGCTGGCTTACTTGGACAGTCGAGGTTGAGAATATAAATGGGGAAAAAGGATTTAATATATAAATTCCTACAAAATTAATAGAATTTTTCTAACAGCGAAAAACCTTGCAGTTTATTACCTTAAAATTATTTTTCAGCAAACAATTTATTAAAAAGGATGTTCCCCTCTATAAAAGACACCATTTCTCCCCCGCAAAACAATTCCTACATTCCTGGCGGCCACTGTAAATCTCAGATCCCCACACAAGCTCCACCTCGGTGGTCCTTTAATTAATATGTAAAGGGATGACGACGATATGCATGACTACGGGGATACGCACTTCACTTGTGCTCCATTTAAATAGAAAAGAAAACATTGGCACGCACACACAGGAACCGCCATGTGTGGGCGTAAATGGGGTTCCCCGGGTTAAGTCGAGCATATATATAGAGAGAGAGAGAGTACGTATACGCCACGGTATATTGTGCGGTGCTGGCTATTTTCCGAATAACTTGAACTCAATGCGGGGCATGAAATAAAAAGCAAGCGAAAGCCGTCGCCGCCAACGCAGCACAAAGGCCAAGCGAAAATGTTGGAAATACAACAAGAAAAACAACAAGAAAAAAAAAAACCAAAAAGCGAAACTTTTTCAATAAATTTCCATCAACTGCAGCAGCAGCAGCAGCAGCAGGGCGACGGTCGGTGGGCGTTTCTTTTTTCGGGCAGGAGGACGGGGGCGTGTCCTCGACAAGACACTGGGGCTCCCCAGTACAATCGATGACAGCCAACTGGAAAGCAGAGCCTGCGGTGCATTTATGCAAAATAAGAAATAACTGCATACACAAACACTGAAAACACTAAAGGAAATGTGAACACGCGCCGCCGCCTGCCAAGTGTACATACACGGAGAGAAAAGTGTTTATTAAAAATGTTATGAAAATTTCAAAAGAAATTTGTTTAAAAGGAACAAGCTCGAATAATAAGAGAATGGAAATTCTTGTAAGTTTTTGATCTGAAATATATTCTATAATTTTCCTCAGCATTTTCTCTCAGTGCCTTTGTGGCGCTTATACGCAGCACAGCATACTTTTTTGGGCAACGCGCATACACACAGAAAATGAAGCTGCCCCATCTCCAGCTCCGCATCTCCAGCAACGCGGGCCTGCAGACTGCATTTTATGTAAATTCCCATCGACATGGGAGTGAGTCGAGTTCTTGATGCCTCTCCACTAGCCTTTGCCACCCCGCCTCTGGATCCCTTTGAGAAGCATCCCATCCCACCCAGGCCCACGCCTCTTATTTACATTTTCGCTTGATTCGGTTTATTTGCGCATATGGAAAGGGGGGCTGGGGATGGCAGAGGCGGTTCAATATGCACACGAACTGCCATCGAAATTGAAAGACGTCAACCCACGACGATGATGATGATGACGATGATGGTGATGGTGATGGGGACATGCTTACGGCGGCTTTGCCGGCTGGCAATTGAAATGGGAGGGCTCTGGCCTGCCCTGCAGAGCGTTAAGTCTATCCATAAATTGCTGCCCCGTCAACTGTTGCATTGCCAGCGGGCTGGGCAGGATAATGTCATCGGTTGCAAGGATATGCTTGCATATATAGATACACCATATGAGCACACACATTTATGCATCGACGTTTTGTGTGTCGCATATTTCACTGGCATAACTTTCGGTCAACCGAAAACTGGGCCAAAACTTTGTGGCTTGCCACTCCACATTCCCTCTGACATGTTTATCAACTCTGTTCTGTTCGGGCTACTGTTTTCTCGATTTCATTCACCAGAAAGCCAAACAGCAACAACAAAAAAAAAATTGTGCATAATATTATGCCTTGTCCGCTGATGAATCAGATATAGCACAACCCTTCAACTCACTCGGCTGCATTTTTATTCACTGGATTTCCCAGTGTGTTTATTTAGTATATTTTCCTTTTTTTTGTTTTCTTTGAACCCGTAGAAAAGCAATTTAATTAATTCTCGCTTTTTATGAAAACATTTTCATTTGCCAGTAATTTTTGTTTGCTTTTGACATTATGTAAAGTGCGTTGCAAAAGCATAATGAACTGGTTAAAGGTAATGAAATGCAAAAATGGAAATATTAACATGGCTTTAAATATTTTTGAAATTCTCTAGAAAGTGATAACAACTAGGAGAAAAATTGTAGTTCAAATATTAAAAAATTTTTTTTTTGACTTTGATAAAAGTTTTCTTAATAGTTTTAAAAAGGTTTACATAGCATTTACCACACAAAACCTTTCAAAACACCAATTAAAGCACCCAAAAGTATGCAATAAAAACCTTTAAAACTGTACAGCATACCTCTAGGCATTTACCATAAAGAAACTCTTATTTTAGTTGCTATTTTGCCAATAAATTTCCTCTTTTTTCCGTTGCTACCAAGTCCCTGACTTATCTGCACTATTTGTCCATTAACTTTAAGAACTCCGTGCTGGCAAGTAAAGTGTCCTGTTTCAACAACTCCTGTGTGTGTCCCTCGGCTATATATACTAGATACGATGATACCCCAGCAAAGGCAAACACACGCAGATGCATAAATAACTCATATTCATTTGTTTAATATGAAAAAAAGTAAGTAAAGCAAACATTTTTAAAGCAGCTTACCAACCGACCAAGAAAAACAAGGACAACGACTTTACAACTACAAAAAAGGGCAACCAATACATGTCCATGAAAGGCCGCAAATTTATTTGCCATTGTGGTTACTTTGGGCCAAGAATCTCTACCCTATAGACACACACACAGAGTGGTATTTTTTTACTGGAGGCTTACAGGACACCAGAGGAGAGGTCCCGGGTCCAGTACATTTTTCATATGTTTTTCATGGGCCGGGGCATGCTTCATAAAGTCGCCAAACAAATTTTTTGTATCGAGTGCAACGTGTGTCCGGCTGCCTCCGATACAGGCATATATATACGATACATACGATATATATATTTTCACTAAATGCCCATTGCCAAACGCAAACAGATGGGGCACAGCACTCAGCGCGGAAGCTGCTCGCACGCATTTATTAATTTTAATCATTTTTTTGACACAATTTCCTTCCGGCTGGACATGCACATTTTTTTTTTTGTCGGAGGTTTATTGATTGTCACCCCATTCATGAAATGCTCAAACATTTTTCATCGGGCTCGTATTTAAACAATTTTTAATCGCAACCATGAAAGCCGGAGGCTTGGGCCGCGCCACTCAAATCGGTAAGCCCCCATTTAAAATCAAACGAAGGCCACCGCGAAATTTATGCGAGGCAGGCCCCTCTCAGCCCAACCAGAATGTGCCAAAAAATATGCTAAAATTATGTGAGTTTAAACCAAAATTTACTACACTTTGAAATGTGCCATGAAAAATGTTCATTGTGCGAGCGACGGCGGGACTGCGGGTAATTTATATGCGTTGGGGGGTGAGTTTTCTCTTTTTGTTGTATTTTGGAAAGGTTCCATATAGGTGTAGGGGGGGTGTACAAAAGAGGCGCATAAATATTTTAGTGCCTATGTGCGGCACACATTTCGGATGGCATCCCAAAGGAGCCACCCGCCCCGCCCACAAGTGTCATGCAAATCCGCATCCGTTTTATATAAATTTTCATAATGCATTTTATGCCCATGGTTTATGTATATTGGCGACCTCCCTTATACATATAGATTTCTGATATATGTATAGTATATATGGGATATGCTCGCCGTGTGCCCAGCAATTGAGCTGGTAATTGCAATATAAATGCACAATAATGAAATGATTCGTTCAAATAATTTTCGGGCGAATCAAAATGTTTTGTTTGGTCCGCGTTTTCGTTTACTCGATTAATTGCTCAATGAATTTTCCATCTGAATGATGATTCATTCATCGTACACTTTAAATTAATGAGGTCAAATTGGGTCTTTAAATTAGGAAATTCAATTGGATAGCCATGTCCTGTTTATCCTGTCTATTGATCAATAAATACGAGCTGTTGAAAATGAGTACAGAAGGATGAACAAAGTAATGAGTAAGCTCGTTTGTTGGTTGTGTTTGGCAAAATCATATAAACAATAATTGAATTAATTAAAATGAAGTGATTTCTTGGTGATTTTTTAGAGAAATTGTGATTAAATGAGCTATTTTGTAGAGAAATTACTATCTTTATCAAGAATTGTATGCATAAAGTGGTTTTTTAAAGCCAAGAAAATTGTATTTAGTTAGGAAAGAGTTTATAAAACGCATAAATAGTTTAAGCTTGTTGATTTTTGTATCAAAGAAGACGTCCTAAAATATTTAAAATAAATATATATATATTTATATATATTATTCTTAGGCTAAAAACCTTATTTTATAAAAACTATTACAACTACAACTATTTAAAAAATAAAACAAAGCCTTAAACTAAGAAGACCCTATAAATTTCCCAATAAAATAAACTTCATCATAAAATTTTCCCTTAAATTTAAATTTTCAGAGAGGGCGAGGATGGCATTTGGGAGCAGCTTGCCAGGATCTACACAAAGACGAATGCCACATCATATCAGGTGACGGGACTCACGCCCTTCACCGTCTACAGCTTTCGCCTGTTGGCGGTCAACAAGCTGGGCATCAGTCCGCCGTCCAAGGAGTCCTACTACATAGTCACGCTGCGCGAGGGTGAGTCCCATGTCCTTTTTCCTTATCCTTCGTTACGCACTTTATTGGAGCCAAAAAACCATAAACTATTTCGCGTAGGCGGTTCACATGTCATAACATATTTAGAATATAGTACGGGGCCCCAGTTAAGTTACGCGACATACATGACATAACAATTTTTACAATCGCATTAATTTTTCATTTGAGTTCCGAACGACTTGGCCTGACTTTTAAGTGCCCCGTCAATGAAAAGTTGTCACAGGCTCAGCCCGGCTTTTGCCTCTTCACTCCGGCGGCAACTGCCAGCAATTACGGCCTCATAAAGCCCGGCGGAGTCTCCTCACGTTGTATACGTTTAATTATTTTTCCGCTGACGGTAGGCCATCCGCCTAGGCCCGGCCAGGTGTGTCGTCATTTTATGGCAAGGCTCGGGCTCGATCTGGGGCTGGGGCTTGGGCTTGGGCTCCTTTCTCGTCCTTTCACGGATGCACGGCAGCCTCGCAGCAACATAAACTGCGTCCGCCTCCACTAAGGGAAATTACAGCTGCGGCCGCAATAATAGTTATCACGCAAGGTGTATTTCTTGGCTTTTATTTATTTACATTTTATAGGTTTTGTACTCTCAAAAACAGATAGTGGAGAAATGCAAGAAATAGTGAAAAAATAAAAATAATAACAATATATATGCCACCATTTCTGTACCCCCTGCAGTACCCTCCAAAGTGAGTTTTCGCCACACTTAAATTTTAGAGGCAGCTTTCATTTCATTAGCATGCGATGACAAAGCCCACGAACTTGATTGCCAAGAAGTTTTAAGGTACTACTACTATTACCGAGTGACATTCTGTTGTTCCCTGCTTTCGATGCACTAATTTGGGTGCCGAATGCCTTAGAATTCGTGTCACTTGGCTGACATTTCACCTGCTGGTGTTACTGTTGCCTTGACTGCCCCAGACAATGATTAATCGTAGGCGAGTGCGTGTCCCACATATAGTATAGCCCCCAAATATGGCGATACATATACACAAATGGACTCCGAAAAGTCACAAAACTTTCCGTAGGCTTTAAGAGCGCGAGACACATTAATCAAAGGCAAAGTAGCAGCAGCAGCAGGAACAGCGACAAGCTATTAGCAACACATTTGTCTTACGGACATTGGAAATGACTTTGCCAGGACACTGCCAGAAAATCTTGAGCGATAATTAGTAATTTAATTAAATTGGAAATAAGTTAGAAACATTTTTAAGATATTAAGAGACCCTCCTTAATCATAGTGATATAATTATAGCTCCACCTAAACCTTTTTTCACCATCTTAGCCCCTCAGATGACTGGCTAATTTAATAGCAAATGTGATTTATTTCTCCCAGTGCAGGCATTTTAGGTTTTGGTGTGAAATTCCATTTATGCCGCCCTGCCACGCACAATGGAATGCGACCCAAGCTGCCGATGCTGCAACACATGCGGTTACAAATTAGTCAATAGTGTGTTGGCGCGCGTCCTTAGCTCCTGAGAGCTCATTAAGGTCCTTCTCGGCCGGGTCCCGGTACAGGTCCTTGGACCTATGAATGTGTGTATGCTGCGGTCGCCGGCCGAGTTGCCAATTTGTATAAATTAAGCCTGCGGCATGCATAAATTAACCAAATGACGACACACCGAACAGCAGAAGCTGAGCGGATATCTTGAATCTAAGCGGCGGAAAAGCGAAAACTTTTCAATTTGCCAAAAGCAAACTTTCTCTCGGCATCAATGTCAAGCCGAAAGACACAAAATATCTTTTAATTTATTTATAAATTCATTGAGCTATGCCAAGTATTTCGGCCTCCTTTTCTCCTGGAAAACTGCCAGATCATCCCCAAGCTCACCTGGTACACAACGAAAAACAGGGGGTAAAAGCTTAATTTGGAAAATGTTCAAAAATATAAGAGATAAAAGAAAAGTAAAAAGTTTGCTAAGGCTTTAAAAATATAGAAAACTCTTTAAGAAATATTTCATAAATAGAAAAATACATTAAAAGTTAATTTCTGGTCAAACTGAACATATCTCTTATAGTTTCAAGTTTTCTAAACCAATTTTAAGCTAAAATTTCGAATAATTTTGTTTAGTGTACCTTCTAAGACACACGCATCATTTAACCTGCGAGTAATGCTCGCAGACAGGGACAGATATAAAAAAAAAACAGGCCGTGGCACTTGCAACTTATGTTGCGTGACAGTGACAACTTGACAATGCCACAGACAACGTTCCGCTTTACATGACAGGTCAGGGGTTCCAGCAGCTTGCTTGCAGAAAACTTTTCCGCGGCGTTTTTAATTTCGAATTTTTGAGTTAGAGAACTTTTTGGCAGCCCCTTCCCCCCGGAGAAAGTTTTCCGGCCTAACCCAATCTAGCACTCACTCACTCATGGTTCTCTCTTGACTTAATCTCTTGCAGCTCCCACGGGCAAGCCCATACCCACGACGGCGCACAACACGTCCTCGACGTCGGTGTACATCTCGTGGAAGCCACCGCCGCCGGATACCATACTGGGCGAGTTCCTTGGCTACCGCATCACATATCGGCCTCGCGATCGGGACCCCAACGATACCAAGGAGATCTACATAAGGGACAATACCGTGGAGGTGAGTTTCAGGAGTTTCCTGAGCCCCTGCTGACTTTCCTATTTAGTTGTATGCCGCAACAATAATTGAATTTCATGATTTCTGACACTCTTGCCATATGGTAAATGCAGTTCAGGGCTTCAAAAAGCAGTGAGAGAAATTTGTGTTGAGAGGGAAAATATTAAAAATCAAAAAGAGAAATTATTAATTGAGGCAGAAAAAATATGTATAATTTATTCTTGAAGATCTTAGCCTTCCCTACACCTTTATAATCTATCTTTTATTTAATTCCTATAATTTTCTTAATTTTAAAATCAATTTATTATTAAATTATTACAAATCCCAAGCTTTTCCCAAGTGCCCGCCAAATGGAAAGCCAGCTTTTTCGTGTCCCGCCTGCAGCGTCATTCAATTTCGCTTTGGTTTTCAGGGTTTTGGTTTTCGGTTCGTGTCTGTCTGACTTGCCACGTGCATATCATTTTCTTAGCTCGAGGATTTCCCATTTTCCCGGCTTAAAGTTTTGTCTAAAAATGTTTAGCGAATGTGTGTGTGTGGAGGGGTTTTTTTTGTGCCCTGTCATTCGCTGGCTTAAAGTCACATCAGCGGCGGTATTAAAAAGTAATTTACACCTGGCCAAAAGGAAAACATTTCCCAGACACCTACACAATGAAATGCCAGCAGGGTTACAAGTGTTTTTCGGTGGCCACCTGTCAAGGTGTTGCCATATCTCGTTGGGGACCCAGACCCCCGCCGATATCACTGGCAATTTGTTAACGATTAGTTCTCAGCTGGGGCCAGTTGGTCCTAGTTGTGTGGGTTCTAGGCCAAAACAGTGGGTGTGTGCCCCGGCACGCAACTTGGCTAATGAAGAAAGTGGCAGGGAAAATGGGGGGCGGGAAATGTAGAGAAAATGGGGGCGAAAATGGGGAGAGAGAAAAATGTGAGGGCGAAGCCCGGGACAAATAACTTGGGAATACCTTTCAATAAAAGATAAGTTTAGCTGAAAGGAAACACCAAACACTTAATCGTGTTTTGTTAAATTGTTTAGTTAGTTCCGTGATGAGTTTGGTTTGAGAGGTGAAAATATAAGAAACAGAAATATAAGGAAAATATTACAAATTGTAATGAAAATTTCCTGAATTTTCTCTCAGAACTACTTATATTTTCCTTTGCTCAATTTCCCAAATATCGGCCATAGATTCCTGGCTTAGCCTCCTTAAAAAGCTGAAAGCCAATCCCCTGCCGGCCATCTTCTTCTAACCATTCAAGCCAAATATAGAATCCAAAGCAGAGGGAATGCATTTCTGCAGCAGCATGCCGGATGCATTTGGTGTCTTAAAAATATGCAAAAATTATTAGCGATAATGCTCACGTACGACACTCGAAAAAAAAAAAGAACTCAAGCACACACCCACTCTGCCCGGAAAAATAGAAAAATTTTTGGAGGCAAGGAAAAATTGAGGGAAATGGGAACGTAACGGGAGAATACAACGGCTGATTGCCACAAGCGCGGCACGCTTTTGTGCTCGAGTGCATATTTTGTCCTTATCTAGACGCAGCTAGCCGTCTCTGTCTCTATCGCAGGACCTGCTCTATCTGGCTGCTCCTTTGCATGTCGCTGGCATGCTGAAATATTATCCTTGCAGGCAGAAACGTGCGACTTTAGTTATGCTTATTTTTTTGTACGTAAAAGTAAAGTGCACAAGGAGAAAAATTATTTACAACAAAGATTTTGACAATTTAATAAAGATAAAATTGAAGTAAAACAAGAAAGGAAGCTAACTTCGGCACACCGAAGTTTGTATACCCTTGCAGATATTATTTCATTACATTTTACCTATATTATTATGTTTACAGTTTGACAGTTACAGTTTTGCATTCCCAGCTTTACATTTTCTCTACATCTACCGATCGGTTTATATGGCAGCTATATGATATAGTTGTCCGATTTTTATGAAATTTGTGCCAAAATTCTAGAATAATAAAATAAGCTTATATCCCGGAGTAGATGAAAAAACGTTGAAAAACAATGAAGTTATAGTTTTTTTCCTATTAATTTCCCGATCGTTCCTATGACAGCTATAAGATATAGTCGTCCGATTTTCATGAAATTTTTATCGAAATTCTGAAATAATATATAATGGCCATATCTAAAAAATTGTGCAAAAATATTGAAAAACAGCCAAGTTATAATTTTTTTTCTAAAAATTTATCGAACATTTGTATGGCAGCTATATGATATAGTCGTCCGATCCGGCCCGTTCCGACATATATAGCAGTGAGAGTATATAGAAGACTATATGCAAAGTTTCATTTAGATAGCTTTAAAACTGAGGGACTAGTTTGCGTAGAAACGGACAGGTGGACAGACGGACAGACGGACAGACGGACAGACGGACAGACGGACATGGCTAGATCGACTCGGCTGTTGATGCTGATCAAGAATATATATACTTTATAGGGTCGGAAAGGTCTCCTTCACTGCGTTGCAAACTTCTGACTGAAATTATAATACCCTGCAAGGGTATAAAAATAGAAACATAGATTGGAACTATTTAAAGCTGAGAATAAGCTTAAAATTCGTAAAAACCTGTCAAACCAATGACTCCCAGCTTAAAAGACTTTGGTTTAATAAAAAAATAATGGTAATTTAATTTTTAGAAATAGAAATACATAAAATATACTTCACTCTTAGTTATTTTTAATCAAAAAACATTTTTCTCCCAATGCACAAGTTATTTTTTTCCCCTGTTCAAGTCATTTTGGTGGACTCCAGGACATGGCTTTCTGTTATTCCCATATCGCAGCATCAGCATTCAGGAGCCTGCGGCTTCTGTCGACCTGCCACGCCCCGTTTTAGCGCCGTCCCTAGCGCCTCTCCCTTTTGGGCCAGGGGCAGCTCGCATTGAGCTGTCACGTGTGAGGTGGAAAATTTCAGTTTTTCACCAGCTTCGCCCTGCAGGGCTAAATTTGCCAATTTTCTAATTAAAATTTCTGCGCCGTAAAGCATAAATTTCGCAACTTTTACGCAGATAAAAGCCGGAAAGTCGAGTCACACGATACCTCAAAGGAAGTTGTTCCGCACAAAAAACTGTGCAAAAAAACGAAACACTGATATTGTTGATGAACAAGACGACCAGCAAAAAAGAAAAGCAAATAAAATAGAGGTTTCAGCGGGGAAAAATGTTGTAGAAAAGCGTAGAGTTTTTCCAGGAGCCTTTCGGGATTTGTTTGACAGATGAAATTTGCATCTGTCTGTCCAACCAAAAGCTCCCTTTTTTCGTTTTTTTGCAGAACCCCTGGCTGGGCAGTAATTAACGCAGGGACGAAAGGGAATATTTAGATGCTTATCTCACTGCTTCACACTTTCAAAAGTTATGCAATATGGCGGCAAGTTGTGGCAACTTTATCAATTACATTATATCAATTACGAGGGGCATGAGGCACGCGGAGCACTGCCCTTGGGCAGTTCCAACTTTCTGCTGACCATAAAAATAAAAGCAGTTGTAAATTTTCGGCCTCATTTACTGGCGACTAAATAAAATGGAATTATATGACCGACCGACCGACAATATACAGAGGCACTAAATCCCAGCGGCCAGTTATGAAGACAGTTGGGGGTAGAAAAATAAGTCATTTAATTTCTAAATAATAATTGCCTAATTTTATGTTTCTTTATTAGTTCTTTATAGTTTTTCCTCAAGGAAGCTCCAAAAAACACACATGTAACCCAGATTTATGAGTCTGCAAGGGGGCCTAAAAGATTTTCCAAGAATTTATAGAGCTATTTTCTCAACCGCAGCTGTTAAAGGACTAGAAAGATATCACGCTCTGCCGACGGGGGCATATAACTGCTGCGATAGTGGCTGGCGCCGTCTGAAAAGCCCAGAAAGTAGCCACTTAAGCTGTTGGCATGGCAGTCAATCCGCTGCTAAGCACAAGCCTAGGATTCGCACAGTCGAAAACCCTTTGGTTTTGCGGTTAAACCGCAGACGAACTCACACATACAGAGAGATACACAGGATGCTCGTACACAAATTCAGCTGGAGAAGCCGGGCGCTCTAATGTATGCTACATAATTTGCGCTCGCCTCAGGCAACTGACCATTTGCGGAGACGGGGAAGGAGGGCGAGTGTGTGTGTGTGTGTAAGCGGTGTGTTAGTTAGCGTAGCACTCTAAGTCTGCGGCTTGTTTTATGGCTTCGCACTGCTTTTGACCTTTGGTTAAACTTTAATCAGCCGGCACTCTGCTCGCGGAAATTCACGGACAAAGCCACCGAAACGGACTCACTTATGGCAAGTCCAATGGGTGCACTGAGGAGAAAACTATAGTTAAAATGTATTTTTCATGATATGTTTTGTTTAAAAATATTTTTAACAATTTTTAAATTTAAAGAGAGGCAAGAGAAAATTTTTTTTACTCCCTTATTTCCTTTTCGAGAATGATTTTCTTGGCTTAAAATATTTTCTTCATTTAAACATTATTTACTAATTAGTTTTTATTTTATTTACCAAGAAAATAATCAGTTTATATTTTCTTAAGCTAATTTAGTTATTTTTTAAATTCGTTTTTCCTTCTTTATTAAATTTTTAAATTATTTTTTACCGTGCACATGTGTGTGTGCTCGGCGGCAATTAAGGCAAAGACTCTTTGCTCGTTGCCCAAGCAACTCAATTTCCTTTTGCACCGACCGACATCAACGCAGCAGCAACTGCAAATCAATTTTAAGTGCTGCAATTTTCATATTTGCCAACGGCAACGCACAAAAGTATGCAACGCGCAATTTCCGCTCCAAGCATGCACAATGCTGAAAGAGGGGGGCAGCTATGGGGGGTGGAGAAAGGGGGGTTTGATGGAGGCCAATCGGACGGGGGGTAGTGATTCCAGAGGCTGCTGCTGCTGCTGCAGAGAAGCACTTGCTGGAAGTGCTCCACTTTATTTTGTTATGCGCCTTCAACGGCCAACAAATGAAAAGTCTTTGGTGTGGAGTACACAGCAAAAAAATAAAATAAATAAAGAATATTGAACAAAAAATGGGAAAATAAAGAACTATATACGCTTTTCAATAAAGTCAGTAAATAAATTAATTACAGAGTCAGAGCTTTGAGAATAATAATAAAATATTATTTAGTAAATCTTAAAATTTATACATTTCATCCAAAAGAATTCCCTTATTATTTCCCCCAGTGTACATTTAGTGTTTGCATTTTAAAGCGGCATTTTTAAATGATTCACCCCACTCCCTGAACTGAACTACAAAAATCTCCTTCTCGCTTTCAGAGTCATGAAATACAGAATCTGCAGACATACACGCAGTACAAGGTGACCGTGCAGGTGTTCAATCCGGAGGGACTGGGACCGGAGACCACCATTCTGGTGATGACCGACGAAGGAGGTGAGTGTGTGCGCCCAGAATAAGTGCAAGTGCCATAGCAGTTTTCAGATTCAGATGCAGATGCCTGGGATTTCCCCCGCCCAGATACATTATCAATGATGCATGCCACAGAGTGCTTGCCCCTGGGAATTGTGGCTGTCAGGCATTCGGACGATGGCCGCAAGTCAATAAGTTTTTTGGTCAGGCCAAAAGTATTTCTCGCATATGCACGAGTAGTATATCTCTGAAGCCGAGAAATTCCAAATATTACGGCTTATTGACATGCCAGACAAGTGACCAAGCCCGAAATGCATATAATATGTATATATATATCCGATCCGATCCGATACAAGATGCAGATGCAGCAGCGTCAAAAACAAAATTCGCCTTTGTGTGCAGTTTTAGTTTTTCCGCTCACTTTTTCCACTTTTCCCCCAGCTTCCCCCTCGCATCTGTGTGGGAAAAAGCAACTTTGAGATTCGCTCAACCACAAAATGCCTCGCCCATGCAATGAAGCAAACAAATAAAAGTTTAACTCCGACCAGAGGCTAAGGAAAATATGTTGCAATTTTTCATATTTTCCCCTCTTGCCTCTTTTTTTTTTGTGCTTTGGCATTTCCTAGCTTTTCCGCTGCAGACCGCAGTCTGTATTGAAATGGAAGAAGAATACTCTCCTTCTCCCACAAACAAATAAAAATACAAAATAAATAATGCTTACTTAAACTTTTGCCATATGCTGCTCAGTCAGCAACAAAAACTGCCCAGGCATGTCCGTTTCTATTTCGAGGTTTTCTCCTTTTCTTACTCCGTTACTTGGGTCGGGAAATTGGGTATATTGTTTTTCCAGGGAAATTACTTAAATTTGTACTTATTACATTAGAAATATGGGAGGTTTTGGGGGAAATAACTACTTATTTCCGATTGAAAATTAAGATCTTAATAGATCTGTTTATAAATATTTTATGGTTAAGGGTTTCTACTTTCTATACTAAAAATTAAATGATAAATATTTTTTAAAAAGCAACAAATATCTTAAAATATCTCCAACCTATTCTAAAAGGCTTTTTTATGTGTGCCACACATTATTCAAATTATATAACGAACTTCCTATTACTTAAAACCCTCAAAGACCGGGTATCCCAGGGTCGGCATTCAGTCAACGCCTTTTGTTATCCTTTTTCGCCATTGTTACGGCTATACCCCGCCGATTCCTTTTGAATCCTGGACGATTCCGCCACGTGGATTTCCGCCGGCATCGTTACACTCGGGGTATCGCCAGACGACGACGACGACGCCGCCGCCGCTGGCGGAAGTGTTGATGCCATAGACGCCGGCCGGCTGATGCCGGTGGAACGTAAATTATAAGCAGTTGGCCATAAATAAAATATATAAAATCGGGCAGAACGGATAAAGAACTCCGACGTGTGCGGATTCGAAGAGGAGGATGGGTTTTGGGATTTAATTTCCTGCAGTCAGCGCAAATCTGTTTGCATAAGCACGCCGAGATGTCTTGGGCAAATATTTCCCAGCTTCGCTCGCGAAGTTTTTCCCAGCGCTCGCGCTAAGACCCGAAAACTCTTTTGAAAGTTGCCAAAAAAGCTTAGCGGCATAATTAGCATAAAATTCTGGTGAAAATCCTTTGGCATCTCCAGCTCAAACTCAAGCTCGAGCCGGAAACCGAATAAAATCAGATTCGATAAAAACGAGAAAAATATGCAAGAGCCAGGAGGCAGAAGGCAGCTCTCCCGTATGGATTTGTCTCTCGTATTATTATTATTATTATTATTTTTTCGTTTGCGGCTAAGCTGCTTTGAGTGAGCGGTGGCAAAAAAAAAATCTATATAACTCTGGATTTTTGCGACAGCTGGCATAACTCTGTAATTTCCGAATTTTCCACGTTTCTTCCGCAACATTTTTGTGTGTGTGCGCGCCCAGGTAACCTGGCAGGTGCAGACGGGCGAAGCTTTCCCGGGGATTTGCAGCGGCTTAAGCAGCAACTTTTGGCCAAGGCCAAGACCGGGAGCAGGACCAGTACCAGGACACAGCTGCTCCTAATAGAATCCTGCCAATGCCGTGTGGGAGGCAGAAGAATAACCAGGGTGGCAGAGCCGATGCGCGTGGCAGTTGATTAATTACCCTCGAATATTTGCCACAAAACAGCCGCAAATAGCTGGCATAACCAAAGCGGAAAATTCTGGCACTCGAAAAAATATATATATACCTTCATCAAGGTATAAAAGAAACATAGTTTTCTCGAGAAAGAACATACTTTCTTACTGCAAGGCTTTTCCCAAATTAACTCCCAAATATTCACTAATATTTCCCTTTAAAAATTCCAAAATTCCTACAAATTTAACTCTTATTTTCCCCAAAATTCTCTCAGTGTATGCTAAATTAAATTTTCAAACTCAAGAGAGCGTAACCAAAGAAACTCGTGCTGTGGCGCCGCCTGCAACACACAGACCACATGCGGTGAAAATTATGAAGCCTTGCAGTGCAGCTTAGCAGCGATGGCAGCGGTGGGGTCATGGAATCCAAGGAAATCCAAGGAAATTCAAGCAGGAGACACACACAGAAGGCACAACCAGATAATGTCCTTAGAAGGCAACTCACCCGGCGATTGCAAAACAATTCTAAGGCTTCACCGAGAGAGCTCTTTGCACTCTTCTTCGACTTTGGCCGCCGTCTTTGATTAGATATTTTCCACTTTCCTTTCGGTCCGTCTGCCTTTGTTATTGCGTTTTAACTTTTGACATTGGGCCCGGTCCGGGCTTACGACAAGGAGATCCTCCCAAATAGTCTTGTTTTCTTGCTCGTTTGCCTCGGCACGCACTAGGATTTCATTTGGCCCCGGGTCTAAGGGGGGCGACTTGTGGCCAAGGCTATTTCTTTTTTTCTATTTTCTTGGTACTACTTAGGGGAAGGGTATACTGTTTATTGTGTAAGTTTTGTTAAGGGGAGTACTTACACTTAATTCTAGACCCTTTTAGAAAAGTATATTTTATCCGAAAGGCCAAGAAATATCTAAAGTTTCTTGTCATAATTTTCGAAATAAATTATTTTACTTTTGAAAAAATTACAGGGTATTCCTTACTAAGAATACTGGTTACTCCTTATTTAGTTTTTATTTCGTTTCTTTTTTTGTTGTACTGCAGTGCAGACAGCTCAAGGGGCGTTTTTCTGTACGATGCCTTTCTCCATCCCCACCTTCCCCGAAACACTTGTCGCTCCAAGGAGCCAGAGGAGACAGTTGTTGGACAATCGTAATGGCTTTGTGCCTGGTGTTTCCCTGATAACTTCGTTTCGTTTTCATTTCGTGTACGCTAAACTCCGTACGCTGTACATTGTACGTACATGGGGCAACACTTGATAGTCCGTACAACTTTTGACTTTAACGCGTCCCCGAGTGTCCTGGCATGGCCTTTGCACCTCGAACCTGGCCGGCTTAAAAGGAGGTTAGCGTTCAAATCGGATGAACTGAGCTGGTTAAGACCCAGGACTTAAACGGGAGCACCAGTTGGTGGTGCAATTTAATTTGTCTGTTACTCGAGGGCCTGCGTCGGCTGCTCTTTAAAATCAAATTTATAATTCAAACAACCTGCAGCTCTTCAAATGGCTTTGACTCGCCGCCCGCTCTTCTTTGGCCAAAATGCAAAATCAACGCAGCCAAAACAAACGCTCCATTAGACGCGTTGCCAAGGGCAGCAGATGAAGCGCAATTTTCAGACACTGAAAATTGGGATATTTATCAAATTAAATTTTAAATTTTTCTATGAAATACATAAGGAATAAGGATCGTTTCATGAGCAGCAATGTAGAATTTCAAATCATTAAAAACAAAAACAATATTAAGAAAAACAACTAAGAAATCCTATTTTTGTAGGTGCAAATTTGAATAAATAGAAATTATGACTGTTTAAATTGTTTTATTACCAATTTAAAACCTTTTATTCCTGTTTCCAAAATCTGCTCATAATTTTCTTTACTCTTTCACAAAAGAAATATCTCCTTTAAATTGAAAGATTTATTTTCCTTTTCCTACCGATATCATTTTTCGAACTGTGCACTTCCCTAAAGATACCATTATCCTCAGAGCTCCGCTGGCAATTTATCACCGCCCCTTTGTCAAACGCCCACCTCGAAAAAAAGTGGGCGCGGTCGCGTTGCCTTTTTCCACAGCCGCTGCAAGCCAAGAAAATTAATAGACACACGCACAGAGGGAGAGAGTGGGAGGGAGAGTTTCCACCTGATGGAAAAGGGGAAGCAAAAAAATATGGCAAATCGCACTTGCATTTGAGGAGATGCTGCCACTCCTTCAGTCTAAAGTAAATGGAAAATGCAAGGGGATCAGGCAGGGGGAAAAGGCAAGATGGAAAATGGGAAATCCATTTGCAGAGAGAAAACGCGCGGGACTGTCAAAAGCTGGGCGACCGGAATCCGCCGGCGACCAAGTTTGCAGCTACAAAATTAATTACCTTTGGCTACTTTCAACTAGCTGCGTAGCTGCGGTTTCACTCTGGGAAAACTCCATCCCCCCGGAAAAACACCACCCCTCCCTACTGCCTACACCTCTAAAAAGATGGTTCAGCGCATCCGCTGGCCCAGCCGCAGCTAGGATAAAAAATATATATATATAAATACTAGATAGTAGGACCCAAAACTCTGGGCACAAGTAGTTTCCTTTGGTGGAAATCTGCGGGCGGCTAACGGAAGTGACAAGCTGCAACCTGCGGTGGGGATAGGGGGAGAAGGGGTGGAAAATGCAACTACAACAACATTGGCAAAGAGCGACAACAACGCAAAGAGATAAAACACCAGGGAACTAAACTTTCCTTCGGCCAGAATGAATACTTAATACACTTTCAGGTCGCCCTCGGTGGAGATCTAATTGAGATGGGAATTAATTGTGGATTGGTTGGGACTTTAAAGGGATTTCTAGGGTAAGGTTGGGGGGTTTCAAGGATATATTTTAGACAATTTGAGTTTAAAGAAGGCAGAATATTGTTTTGGCATTTTATTTT